ACACATGCACAGACATTATTTCATACACGACATAGTCGTGAGATGCAAGAAACATAGACATATTGCAAGAAATCTGTAGACGCGCCCATAACAACAAAAGAATACTTTATTGAACCTTTTCTGATAAGAAGTGTGCGCTGCAAACGCGAGCATTTTTGACGATCGTTTCTGTCCAGTCTGCTCGTTTTATCGCGTTTAACCACAGCTGTCTCGGTTTTTTGTCTGGCAGTGGTAGCAGATATGCGATCAAATTTCTAATTTGAGGCTGTATTACGTCGATTCTGGCACCCAACATCACAACAAGATGATATTTTAAGCTCCTTATGTAGCCGAATCTGCGCTGGTTTGAATGGGCTGCCTCCAGTTTCCCCTTTGTTTTGCTGCCTCCCGCTAGCGCTGTGACGTCGGCTGATCCTAGTTACCTGTGGTTGGCCTGGCCGTGCGTCACTCAGAAAACAACTGGCCAATCAGAAGAGAGGCTCATGAATATTAATTAGACAGACTAAAATCGACCTGTTCTCAGCAGAACTCCTGAGAAAGGAGCTGTAAAAATATATTGAGATGGTTTTTGGTACTTATACCGCAAATATATATTCTTAAGGACATCAAAACCTCAAATAAAACTCCAGAAAGGTGTACAATATGGGACCTTTAATGTTCTTTTAGAATGTCATCATTCAAAGCGTTTCTGTCTTCTTTCATTCAGTTACAGCCATAGCTGGCTGTTTTTGTCCATATTCGGGATTTCCTGTAGCTTCCTGAGTTCTATTTCTTCTATAATGTATATGTGTATTTTCTGCGCGAGGGCGCCCTCAGGCGTCCAGTATGAATGAAACACAGATTACATGTGTTCATAGCACTAAATAATGGCCAATCCATAAAAATAATACTACTTTTTTTTTTGGAGTGCACACACTTTCACCCATTAAAGGAATAGTATAATGTATTCATCATTAGGTCATCTAAGATGTAGTTGTAATGTTTGTTTCTTCATCAGAACAGATCTGGAGAAATTCAGCATCACACCACTTGCTCAGCAATGGATCCTCTGCAGTGAATGGGTGCCGTCAGAATGAGAGTCCAAACAGCTGATAAAAACATCACAATAATCCACACCACTCCAGTCCATCAGTTAATGTCTTGAGGAGCAAAAAGCTGTGCCATCATTAATGTGTTTTTAACTTTTAAACCATTGCATTATATTGCTTTCTCCAGTGAAAAAAAATAAGCTTGTCTGAATCAGGAGAGAAATCTGCACAGATCAAGCACTGTTTACAAGCAAAAACCGTTCTAAACAAATATATCAGTGGATTTTGATGTGAGAGGACAACAGACGATGGACTTTATCACTGGAGGAAGCATTATTATGGATTATGGACACTTATTTTGGCCAGAAGCAACAGTTTAAAGTTAAAAAACCTTAATGATGGATTTGCTTCTTACAAACACACAGCTTTTCGCTCCTCAAGACATTAACAGATGGACTGGAGTGGTGTGGATTACTTGTGGATTATTGTGATGTTTTTATCAGCTGTTTGGACTCCCATTCTGACGGCACCCATTCACTGCAGAGCATCCATTGATGAGCAACTGATGTAATGCTAAATTTCTCCAAATCTGTTCTGAGGAAGAAACAAACTCATCTATATCCTGGATGGTCTGAGGATGAATACATTATCAGCAAATTGTCATCTTTGGGTAAACTACATCTCTCCGCTGCAGGACCAAGGACTGGTGTCCCGTTTCACTGGCACGGTTCCGGCTACTCTGAAGTTATCTATGGCAGGAAGGTCTGTGGAATGCTAAACTCATACAAATGTATTATTTACAGCTTAAGTACAGATGTAATTTTCCCTGTCTATATACTGATGTGCTTGTGTTCTCCAGCGTTGGTTTCTTTACCCTCCTGATGATGCACCCGAGTTCCATCCCAACCACACCACACTCTCCTGGGTCTCTCTGTCCTACCCAAACCTGGAGCTCCACCAGAGGCCCCTGGAGTGCACCATACGACCCGGAGAGGTGAGGTTTAACCCATTTACACACTTAAATAGTAGGCACAAATTGTCAGAGTAATGTCAAAGTCATGTATTCCAGAGATAAAACTGCATGTTTTTGTGCAGGTGCTGTATTTTCCAGATCGTTGGTGGCATGCAACTCTAAATCTGGACACCAGCGTCTTCATTTCAACATTTCTGGGGTGAAGACTGATATGGTGGACACACACCATGTGCATTTGACTTGAAGGACCGAACAAGGATTCGTTGTTCAGAGGACCAAATCAGAGGAGTTTGACTCAGTTTGAGCAAAACAGAAAGCCAAGCCATTCGTCCGTAAACTTGAGCAATGTTTTTTAATAGAAGCTGCTTTTAATGCGAGATTGAGGTTATTGTTTAATAAAGTTGTGTTGTCGAAACATATGAATTGAATGCTTTGTTAGGTTTTATTGTTGGGTTTTTGAATGTTGAATTTTAAAGATGCATTTAATTAAACAGATAATCAATTCAAGTAAGCTGGATATCATTAATAAATCCATTATATGTGCGTCTTCCTCATTCAGACTCACAAAAATACATTTTTATCAATAAAGGAACATTTTTATTATACTGAAAAAATGATGAAACCTTAAAAATGTTAACAAATAAAAACGGAATAGAATAGAAACATTGAAATCAGTTGGTTAAACTGTCCAGTTTCACATTAGATTGGGGGCATTGAATTATGTAGGTTATTGCTGAAATAACTGGGCCCTTGAGATTTTTTTACTTTTGTGTTTCACATTTGAACAAGTTAGATTTGTGTTAGAAATCCATACACACAGTATGTGATCAAAATGATTCTGGCTCTTTTTAAAACGCCCCAAGATACATTCTGCTATAGTACATGAGCATAAAGAGTGTCATAATAGTATTTGTGTATATGGAGTAGTTTTTTATATTTGGGAATTAATCAATAGAATTCAATTGAATGAGAATAACACGTATGTTTTTGCAGTAATGCGTCTTTTTGGTGATCCAAGTCCAAAGAGAGAAAGAAATTCTAACCAAAAAACTCTTTTAACGATCCCAGCAGAAGACGGTCCTCCAGATGATGTCACTTCCTCCAGACCTGCTGTCCAGCAATGTAGGTTTCCCTGAGTGTCAGTGTGTCATCAAGCACTACGAAATCTACAAAACAACACACATAACTCTGCATTTCATATCAAAAACACTTTATTGTGAACACATCTATCCAGTGGACACAATACTGCCTTAACCACGAACAATAAATAAAATTAAATATAAATTTTAAAAACTTTTACCTTTTAAAAATTAAAATTAATTTTAAAATACATCCAAATACAAAAGTTATTTTAACTTCCAATAATATTAATATTTAACTGCTAATAACCCCCAAAATGTGCAGTTAGATCTTCATATATTCTAGTACAGTGGTGAGAAAAGGTTTTTGCCCCCTTCCTGTTTTTTTTATTTTTTGCATATTTGTCACACTTAAAAGATTCAGATCATCAAACAAATTTTAATATTACACAAAGATAATGCAAGTAAATACAAAATGCAGTTTTTAAATGATGATTTCTTTTATTAAGGGAAAAAAGCTGTCCAAACCTACCTGGCCCTACATGAAAAATTACCTGCAGTTCTTTAGATGTTGTTCTGGGTTCTTTTATGACCTCCTGGAGGAGTTGTCATTGTGCTCTTGGAGTAATTTTGGTAGGCCAGCCACTCCCGGGAAGGTTCACCACTGTTCCAAGTTTTCTCCATTTGTGGATAATAGCTCTGACCGTGGTTCGATTAACAGGAGGGGGCCCTAAAACCTAGGGCCAGGTAGGTTTGGACAGCTTTTTTCCCTTAATAAATGAAATCATCATTTAAAAACTGCATTTTGTATTTACTTGCATTATCTTTGTGTAATATTAAAATTTGTTTGATGATCTGAATCTTTTAAGTGTGACAAACATGCAAAAAAATAAGAAATCAGGAAGGGGGTCAACACTTTTTCACACCACTGTATATGTAGTATATTCTTCTCCAACAAAGAGGATCACATTTGATGACATAAGGAAACCACAGCAAAAGTGGCAATGCTGTGGCATGTGCTATTAACACATTAAATGTGCATGAGATTTTTTGAATATTGTGTATGAGTTTAAAGGAATAATTCACCCAAAAATGAAAATTTGCTTAAAATTTACTCACCCTCAGGTCATCCAAGATGTAAATGAGTTAGTTTTTTTTTACCAAAACAGATTTTGAGAAATGTAGCATTTCATCAGTTGCTCATCAATGGATCCTCTGCAGTGAATGGGTGCCGTCAGAATGAGAGTCCAAACAGCTGATAAAAACATCACAATAATCCACAAGTAATCCACACCACTCCAGTCCATCATTAATGTCTGGTGTAGTGAAAATCTGTGTGTTTGTAAGAAGCAAATCCATCATTAAGGCATGTTTGGACTCTCATTCTGACGGCACCCATTCACTGCAGAGGATCCATTGGTGAGCAACTGATGAAATGCTAAATTTCTCCAAATCTGTTCTGATTAAGAAACAAACTCATCTACATCTTGGATGGCTTGAGGGCGAGTAGATTTTCAGCAAATTGTCATTCTTGAGTGAATTATTCCTTTAACTCTTTCCCCGCCAGCATTTTTGAAAAAGTTGCCAGCCACCGCCAGCGATTTTGATGATTTTCACTAAAATTTGATGGCCTCCAGAATATTTTGCTGTATGAATATTTGAATATGCAATACACCAAAATAAAGATCAGAACCTCTACTTTAAAAAAAAAATCAGTTTTATTCTAGCTTAAAGCATTCTTTTTTTATCAACACTTGAATATAGGTAGGTTTCAGAGAAAACTACATTTATCAAAAACTACATCTGGACAATATTCAGTACGATTATCAAAGCATAAATCCAGTAAATTGCTTCCATCAACACCTCCAAAGCTTGCACAGACATATACCACTTCCTGGATCAACATTTTACTCCGTAACATTATGCAGTTTTCACTTATATGCTGCCATTGCTGCCATTTTT